ATAACACAGGTGGATCGGGGCAGCAATGTACGCCAGCTACCAGACGGGCTGGGCGGCCGGCATGGCAGGGGCGATGGCAGACGTTACACTGACACTGCACAGAGTCAACAACAACTACCGCTTCAACGGTAGAACACTCACAGCAGCAGTGGTGTTCATCAGAGATTCCACATCCGTCAAATCGGGACCATAAATGGCGCGCCAGATGGGCCCCTGGCCGTCCAAGGTGCGCAACAGCTGAAGCCGCCGCAGGTGTATCACGGCATGAAGTTCAGGGGCGACGGGTGGGGCTGGCGGGAAGCCACACAGCGATGGTCTTAAGCTGGTGACCAGGCAAGGAGAGACTTACTCTTCCCAGAAATCACGATCGACTACTAATCCAGGCAGCACGATCGGGCAACACGGCACACGTGTGCAGCATCTCCCCCTACTCCTGGAGCCGATCCCCGTCCTAGCCGGCTCCGTGAAATCGCCCAAGATGTGCTCATGTACTTCATGCACATGCATACTGGCATGCACATCAACATAGAACTGGCTGTATATGTCTTAATATGTATATTATACATATTATATATATAATATATATTATGCCATGTATATATATATCCATATATATATATATATATATATATATATATATATATATATATATATATATATATATCTATCTATCTATCTATCTATCTATCTATCTATCTATCTATCTATCTATCTATCTATCTATCTATCTATCTATCTATCTATCTATCTATCTATCTATCTATGTATGTAATTCACTTTTCATGAGTGAGTATGCTCGATCGCCCTATGTCTCTTTTAACTTCCCTCGACAGGTTAAAGGTGGGGGCTCCAACTGCGCTGATCATACATTTTATTCTTAACGTTTCGGAAATATCGATTTCCATGTTCTGAAAAACTTTAAAACGCCTGTCAGCACATCACGCTAAAATAAAATGCAAAGTTAAAAAAGATATCACACTCACTGCGTGACACTATTCACTCGTTCGGTGATTCAGGATCGTAACTCAGGAAATGAGAAAAAGAAAAAGAATATCTCGGTCCAGAACATGTAATGTTCCCCAGCCCTTGCTATAATTTTGTTGTTCCAACAATGTGAACGAGGCACAAAGCTTGATTGTTATTAACGTGCGCCCGGCCGGGGTCAGAGACGACGGCGCCCGGTCGGGGTCAGAGACGACGGCATACGCCGTACGAGAAAAAAGATGCTGCTGAGAAGACCTCGTGAAGTCATACATAATGCGCATCAGTATTTAAACCTAGGACAAATCTGAGGCCGCCAGAGGTCACAAAATGTTAAACAACTGTCGCTCTGATAGATGCAGATAGAACATCCTTGTTAGTACATCAAGGCGGATATTTGAAATACGGAAATAAACGTTACCACTGTGAGTGAGTCCATTAAGACCATTTCTGTTCCTCCACAAGTGTCAGGTAAGTTCAGGTCGCCATTAAAAACTGAGCTACAAGGAGCCTACAAGAACGTTACTTACTTACAATGTGGTTTTAAGTTTATTCTATTAGAGGCAGCTGTGGGGAAAAAGTGCTCCAGACACAAAAAACACAATTTTGGGCTGACCTAGAGGTCATCTGAGGTGGGACTTAGGTGAAGATTACAAACCATCCACATAAAACAATTTGAATTGCTAGCCAGGTCTATGTGGCCAGTACAACACTTCAGTTCGGTGAACTTGGATTTTCTCACATGACATTGCGTGTCCTCACGTGACTTATTGTGACCTTATTACGCATTAGAATATCATAATTTCAAGTGAAGTATTCAGATTTGGCGTCCAAAATTGCTTGATAGAATTGCCTTCTTTTAGTTGAGCATGTGTCTAGCAGAAGGTACCCATAGAGGTAAGTCATGACAAAACTATTGTCCATTCGCAGATTCACGCACGGATATAGAAGAGCTTGGGCCGACATCAGAAAAACACTTATGTCAATTATGTGTGATTTCAACGGCATTTTCTAGTAATGAGACTGAATCTTGCCTCCCGCAGGACGTTCGTATTTCTGCCACCTTTCCGTAATACGCGCTCGGGCCGGGGTCAAATTGACTTCCCCGAGGGTTTTTCCAAAATGGTTTTCGAGCGGCGTGGTGCGACCGCCCCAAATTTTGCATAGCTGTAGACAATTAAATAGCGGATCGTTTGGCATCATAAATTTAGATCAACCTTGTAAGTTCGCTGACCTATGGCAGGTCAAAGTCAGGCCATGGTTTCAGCGAACTTAATTTCTAGGGAATCGTTCAATCTGATGCAACAACGGAGTGTTAGACGAAGCCCTACATCTCTGAGATCCTTTTTTACGCAACAAAAATATTGAATGAGTAAAATACGTTGACTTTAGGTCAGGTATCAAAGTCAGACTACGATCAAAACCAACCTGCTTTATTACTCCAGGGCTTGCTGTATGGGGAAGTTTCCGGTGCTCATTTCGAATTCATTGAGAGCAGAAACCGCATTATGCATCTTCCATTGACGTCTTAGAGGTCAGAATAGGTCACTGACCTGAAATGACCCAGGTCAGCATTTCTTTTTAGAAACATACTGCCTGGCGTAATCTTGGTCGCTTATTCAAATGCAAAATCCAGAGCAGTCTTGTATTATTTTGGTCACCATGACCTTAAAAAGGTCAAAACAGGTCACTGACTTTAACTGAGCATGTGATCTTTTGCTTAGAAACAGTTATCTAGGGTCTGGGGGCACTTTGGAGACCAACATGGACTTTGACATTGTTTGACCTTGTTTGACCCAAAGATCATGACCTAGGAATCTCAAACTTTGGCCTAAGTGAGTTCACGTACAGGTCAACACACTTTGTATATTTGGTGCTACTATCTCTCTTAGTTCCGGAGATCTTAGGGTGGGGGTCAAATTGACCCCCACCCGAGCGAAGAGTATCTAGCCGGCCATCCGGGCGCGTGTTAAAGAACAAATGGCAGGATCGTAACCAGTATTTTGTTTTTCATATGCCGTCCGTTACTAGTTACCCTCAAAGTACAAGCATTCCATGCTACATGCTGCTGTCTCGACATAAGATAGCCTTTCACCGACCTCCTCGCTCTCACACTTCTCTACAGCTGATGTGCTATCTGTTACTGTTTCTCCGTACACTCATGTGCGCGCTCGTACAAACCTGGGGTATTCTGTTCAGGCAGGCGTTGTTCAACGATATATTCTTTGCTGGAGAAAGAAAGCGTCGAGCACAAGCGATGGGATAACTATAGAAACCAAACACAAATATTCTTGGATCTAAGCTTCGAGTTACGCTTCGCACCCGACACACACAGCAGTAATGCCGGCCGTTCCGTCGTAGTGCCCGCACACGGACAATTCAGTGTGCTTGCGGCAGCACACGGATTCTTGGCTCAATTGAAAAATGTCCCGTTTCTCTTCCCGCGCTGCGCAAGCAGCCAATGTCGACATGCTTCATCCTTCGTGTTAGACAGCCCACACGCAAGTTCCCACCGCCTGAAACGAGGCATGGCCTGGTGGAAGCTTGCACCTCAGAAATCTGCCGCACTTGCCAGCCATACCCAAGGGACCGTTGCAACGCTCTCCCCTCTTCTTGGCACAAACCGGACAACCGCAGAGACACATAGACGGATGGATACCCCAGCCTCCGCACTGCGCCTCTGTGAGTCTGTCCTGGGTGCATTTCATGCGCCGTTCGGGCGGTGCACTCCATGCAGCTGAGCGCAGCGGCGAATGTCACAACGGCCGCCATCAGTAAAATGTGCAGCAGGAGACGCATGTTGACCACGGCCGGCGTCCGGGCGGACTGTGGACAGGGCAGAGCCGCACCGCCTTATGTAGCGCCGGCGCCACCGCCGTCACGAGGGCAGGAGCCTCCGGTCCCAGACAAACCGCCGGATCATGCTGTCAGGGCGCCGGGGTTCGATGCAGCGTGACGCGTATGGCAGATGAATCTAAGTTCACTCGGTTGAACCATCGGAGAGATTATCCAAAATGTCGCGAGCGATGACGTCACCGTCATCGTCATCGTCACGTCACGTCATGACGTCAATTGTGATGGCCGCGTTGCACAGGTTTCTGCTGCGCGGAATGTTGTGGTACTCCACGTGATTCTTTTGGTACGTTTCGCCTTGCCAGTCATTGTTTCTCCTGATACACGTTGTTTGCCAGTGATGGACACGGCAAAGGGAGACAAATGGTCACACAACACAGTAAGGAGCTAGAATCGCTTTTGGACTAGGGTGAGAGTGAAAAATTCCATCGCAAAAAGACTATGCGGGAGTGCAAAAATCAATTACAAAAGATGGAACTTATGAGCTCGTGACTGATGCTTCAGTAAACAAAGACATCTATTTCAAGGTGGCATGGACGAAATATCAGGAACCTGACAAAAACATTTCCTTTTAACATCTTAGGCCATTAGAGTCAAACAGAATACATTAACACGCGCTCGGGTGGGGGGGGGGGGTTGGCAAATTGACCCCCCCCCCCCCGAGAGCTTTTCCCAAATGGTTTCTGAACGGCGCGGCGTAGCCGCGCCAAATTTTGCATAGCTGTAGAAAATTGCATAGTGGATCTTTTGACACACAAATTTGACATGTACCTTGTAATGTTGCTGACCTATGACAGGACGAAGTCAGCCCATGGTTTCAGCGAAGGCAATTTCTCGGGAATCGTTCAATCTGATACATCAACGGGGTGTTTGACGAAGACGTACATCTCTGAGATGCTTTCTTAGGCACCACAAATATTGAATGAGCAAATTACGTTGACCTAAGGTCACGTATGATGGTCAGACCAAGGTAAAACCAACCTGATTTGTTACTCTCGGGCTTGCTGTATGGGATAGTTTCTGGTGCTCATTTCGAAATTATTGACAGCGTGAACCGCATTATACATCTTCAATTGACTTCTTTGAGGTCAGAACGGGCCAGTGACCTAAGATGACCCGGGTGGAACGTTTTGTTTCAGGAGCATACTGCCTAGTGTAATCTTCGTCGCTTATTCAAATGCAAAACGCAGATCAGTGTTGTATCGTTTTGGCCGCCATGACCTTCATAGGGCCAAACAAGGTTAATTACCTGAAAAGGGCTTGTGAATTTTTCCTTAAAGACAGCTGCCTAGGTTTTGGGGGCGCTTTGGAGACCAGCCTGGAATTTGACTTTTTTGACCTTATTCGACCTGAAGGTCATGACCTAGGAAGCTGAAACCTTCACTTAAGTGAGTTCACGTATAGATCAAGACACCTTGCAAGTTTGGTGTCTCTAGCTTTCTTAGTTTCCGAGATCTCAGAGGGGGGGGCAAATTGACCACCCCCCACCTGAGCGAAGGGTATCTGGCCGGCCAACTGAGAGTGTGTTAAGGCATAGTGAGTTCATGACAGTATTATGAGCACAACAAATTATTAACACCAATAATTTGATGACGCACTTTTCAATTCCCTTTCACAGCATTTTTAAAACAAAACAAAGCAAAGGAATTCAATAACAAAATAACAACAGAAAATTCAACAAGTACAAAACACTCAAACAAAAAACCCTTGGACTCCTACACATCAGCCCATCACCAAGTCAAACACAATAGACATACTTCTGGCTTCTGTTAAGATGGGGTCAGGAAAAACAAACATTTTGTCACTGTTTCGTACAAAATAGCAATGCCTATTTCCGCCAAAGTAGCCTACGCCTAACCTAAAGAGGCTTTACATCATCTCATCCTGTACAACCTGTTTTATCACAGCAGCAGTTTTGAGTCACTGATTCTTGCACAATTCCTATTGCCACTTGCCATGCACTTGACCAACTTAACCCAACTTAGAGTAGCCCTTAAGATGAACATCATCTCATGTCACCTATCTGTTGACAGCAGCACTGGTGATAAAGACATGATATTTAAAGCTAGTTTTTGGCTAGTTCCAACCTGCATTTTTATTCAGTTCACTTGTGTATGCTTGTTGACATCAGGCAAAGTTGACAAAACACAAGTCAAAACACTTTCAATCGCTTTGAACAACTTGTTTGATTGTCACAGATTACCTATGTCAAGGGCAATAATAGGTATGCTCCACAAAGCAATCTCTCTTCTCCAAAAATAACACAACTTTTAGATGACATCAGCATTGCTGCTTCCTTTTTCAGCTACAGCAAATGCAACCATTTGGGCTTGTTTATTCATATTTAATGACAAAGTTTGAGATGTTGGCTTCACATTTTGAATGGGGTGGTCCGACTATTTGTTACATACCAATATTTAACTGATATTATAATTGCTATGCAGCTTGGAGTATCCCTGTGTTAAGAATATAGTGCATATATACAGTGCAGTCATTTGTCAGTCAGCAGACCATGACAACTGAAGAAAACATGTGCTTAAAGCAGCCATAAGGGACCACTATAAGAAGTGAGGGGCAAATGGCCAAGAATATGGAACAAAAGAAGCCCACTGCATGCCTTGTGGCATCATAATTTGTCTTATGGCTAAACTCGATGCATTAAAAAATAATGTCTAACTCTGGTTACCAATCCTGTGTTGAAAGCAGGTAAGGTAAGCAATTAGCTTGGTCCACAGGAGACTTACTGGCTTCTTCCTGCTCCCCCCCCCAAAAAAGAAGAAGTAACTTTTGCATGGTCTGCTGGCAGACAGAGTAATCCGACTCACTCCCCAAATATAAATAGCAATCATGCCCACCAACCTTCGAGATTAAAATGCGAAACAAGTAAGAGGTGTGGATGATAAACATCTCCAAAGGGCAAAATTTCGCCATCAAACACTTCTGTATTAGCTGCGTCAGGTCTGCCCCAAGTCTCTGTATGGCAGCATTTATTCTAATGCTAATGCCTTGCCAGGAAGCCTGGTAAGTCAGACACTCGAAAGGCTTGGATTTCTCATTATTGAACAGCGCCATGAGCCAAGAAAACGGTTATCCGAAGGTTTGAGAGGGCAAAAATGGCGGTAGAAATAAGCTCCGTGCTTCAAATTGTCTCTTTCATTTACTGTGCATTGTTCACGCTTTGGTGCATATCAGACATGTTTGGGCGGCTGGCGAATTAATCCAATTGATGTATAAAATACGTACAAGTTTGCAGTTGAAGCATCTTACACACAAAATTGGTCAAAATTTTAAGCAGTAGATGGTACATCTAAAGACAACCGAAAAGAAAGGAAGAATAAATTGGTGCGACACTGGTATGATACCAAGAAAAACAAAGGTAGCTAAATAAATGCAAGGACTGGTACTTTTTTCGCAAAATTTTGTAATCAGCTGATGTGACTTAAAATCTGTTAATATAAGTGCTTAAATGGTGATATTCATCTTTTAAGTTTAATTTAGAAGACATTTTTTGAACTTTTCACTCATGCATTTCGGGAATGATGCAATTTGGTGGTCAAGTTTCGTCGGGAAAAAAGAAATACGTGGAGTAAATTTCTCTACCAAGCCTTGCTGGTGTTTGAACCAGGCTCTGCTTTCGTGGTGTGGTGGTGAGACGAAAAACATAGG